AGGTTAAATATCATTAATTATAATATTTATAATTAAATTTGTATAAAATTTTATACAAGATTCAAATAAAATATAATATTTATACTTGAATTTTATAAAAAATTATATAAAATTAATTAAAAATATTTTAATTAATAAGTTTTAATACAAACCTTTATGATATTAAACAAACTCAACATAATATAATTATTTTATTAATTATTAATTATTTTTAATAATAAAATAAAAATAAAAATTTATTATTAACCATTTTAGTTCGTTTAACAAATTTACGAAATTTAATAATCTCTAGAAGCATAGCTGTAAACAAGATATTGTCTAAATGAGCCTTATCACCGTTAGTTTTCTTTGTCGGAAGAGAATCAGCGGTTTTGATTCAATGATATGACGGCGGGTATACTCGCGTGGAGTGCATTTCACGTTTCCTTCTGCATTACTTGATAAATTTAAAAACCCAAAACCAGGAGGGTAATAGCTAGTTGGATTGAGAGCCTCCGTTTCTTTCTGTCTCTCTCTCATGCGTTTCTTCCAGAGTTAAAATCTGTTTTTTTTTTTTATTCTCTAAATCCGAGGGATAGAAGAGAAATGGCATCTGGGTTTTCCGGCGGGGGTTCGGATTTTTACGGCGGAATGGCTGGGAGATCTATGGCGCACATGGGGGCTATGGGCAATAACCAGACGGCGGCGGCGGGGAGTTACAGAACGCAAATTCCTGGCATGTTTATGGACTCAACGGCGCAGATCGTGAACCAAGGTGCAACTGGCTTTGTAGGGAAGAGACCGCTTGAAGACTTCCATGCGCAGCACCAGAACCACCCTTCTTTCAACGCGCTCTTCCGCCGGTCTGTTAAGCCTAGGATGGAACAGCACGCCTTGTCTGTTTCGCCACTTTCTCCTATGGATATCCCTACGCTGGCAAGGAATTTTTGCTCACCTGCTTCCTCTGCTTCCATGTCGCAGCGATATGGGCCTTCACTTCTGCAGCAATTGAGGCCGCAGACCGTTTCTTTGGGTGGGTCTATGCCCACAGCTCAGCCGAATGCTTTAACGGGGCTTACGTATATGAACCCGAGTCAAATACGGGTTTCGCCGCAGGATACAGAGAAGAAGATGATGAATCAGCTTCAGGAGCTGGAGAAACAGCTGTTGGACGACAACGACCAGGAGGGGGATGCCGTCTCGGTGATTACCAATGCTAACAGCGAGTGGTCCGAGACCATACAGAGCCTGATAAGCTCCAGTCCGCAGTCAATTTCGCCATCGTCCACTTCTTCCACTACGTCCACGTCTTCCTTCTCACCAGCGGTGGCTTCTCCTGCTACGAGCTGCTCAAAGCAGACATTAATGGAGGCTGCATCAGCAATTTCGGAGGGGAAAATGGACGTATTTTACGAGATCTCTGCGCGATTGGCTCAGTTTGCGAACCCGAAAGGTAATACGGAGCAGAGGCTGATACAGTACTTGACCTCGGCTTTGAAATCAAAAGTTAACCCGGTTGAAAACCAGCCAGTGGTTGCGGAGTACAGGGCGACCCAGTCTCTTTACGATCTGTCTATGTGCTTCCAGCTTGGTTTCATGGCTGCCAATCGTGCTATTCTCGAGGCCACCCTCGACGGGCAGTCGAACTCTTACAAATTCCATGTAATCGATTTTGATATCGGCAAAGGATTGCAGTACAAAAATCTTCTTTACGAGCTCTCCAAGCGCCGGAACGGAAAGCCGGCAATGGTGAAAATCACCGCCGTCGCTGATAATGGTGGCGGTGAGCGGTTTAGATCAATTGGTGAGGAGTTGAGTCTACTCGGTGAGAGAATTGGGATTTCCTTGAAGTTCAAAGTCGTGGGGTGTCCGAAACTCATCGATCTATCTCGGGAGTCACTCGGTTGCGAACCAGACGAGACACTTGCTGTGAATTTCGCATTCACGTTGTACCGAATGCCGGACGAGAGCGTGTCAACTGAAAATCCCAGAGACGAGCTTCTCCGGCGAGTGAAAGGCCTAGCTCCGCGGGTAGTCACATTGGTAGAGCAAGAAATGAACACTAACACCGCGCCGTTCGTGGCGCGGGTGGGGGAAGTAACTGCGTACTACGCCGCGCTGCTTGAGTCAATTGACTCGATCGTGGCGAGAGAACAATCTGAGAGAGGAAAAGTAGAGGAGGTAGTGAGTCGCAGAATCGCGAACTCGGTTGCGTGCGAGGGTCTGGACCGCATTGAAAGATGCGAGGTATTTGGGAAGTGGCGGGCCCGGATGGGCATGGCTGGGTTCGAGTTAAAGCCACTGAGTCAAAACGTGGCCGAGTCAATTAAAAGCGGACTCAGCGCCGGCAACCGTGTGAATCCGGGTTTCACCGTCAAAGAAGAGAAAGGCGGCATTTGCTGTGGTTGGATGGGTCGGACTCTCACCGTCGCATCTGCTTGGCGTTAACTTCATTTTCACTCCCAAAATATTGTCATTAATTAATTGTTAATTTTATTCTGTAACGTTTTTATAAAATTAGAAAGGGAAAGCAAGAAAAAGGGAAAACCCCACCAAACCAAATAATAAAAAGTTAGTGTTTGGACTCTAAGAAAATTCTGTGGTGATCTATTATTTCCTTTGTGGATAGCTCTATATTCATATTCGGCAATTCTAAAAAGTATGATGCTTTTTTTATTTTTATAATATTTTATACAATATCAGGCACTAATTAGTTCTTGTATATATTGAAAAGGTCATGTTGTTATATTTTTCCTTTGTGGATAGCTCTATATTCATATTCGGCAATGCTAAAAAGTATGATGCTTTTTTTTATTTTTATAATATTTTATACAATATCAGGCACTAATTAGTTTTTGTATATGTTGAAAAGGTGATGTTGTTATATTTTTAATTATTAATATTATAAAATTTTATTTTAATTAATTATTTCCTTTGTGGATAGCTCTATATTCATAT